TAGGGTTCAGAGTTTAAGGTTTGGGGTTCAAGGCGAGAATGCCGAATGCGCAGGTGTGGCGATTGGAGACCTTGGTACGCAGCTGAGCGAGTTGCGCCGAGTTCAAGCAGTACGAAACCCTAAACACTGGTTTCTAAACCCTGAACCCTTACACCCTAAACCCGGAACCCTTGCATCGACTGCGGCTTGGTTTCAGGCTCGCAGGACGCTTATACACCGAAGACAACCCGAATTAGACCGCTTCACTCTTGAGTATTGGGGGGTCCGTTGTCTGTACATCTTCCACAGCCTTAGTAAGACGTGTGTAGATCGAATGTGCTTATATAGTATGTATGTATGCCTGACTGAAGGGGTAAGCTAGTTTAAAACTAGATGAATTGAGTGTAAGAATGGATGGACGGATGGTAAGATGGAACGATGCGTGCATGGATGGAATCATGAGTGCATAGATACATGAACGGGCAGATGTGTGTACATGTGCATGCCTGAATGCGCCTAAGTCGTCGCAACTTGTGGGATGTGTACACGTGCATGCTTGTATACAGCTTTGCCTATATGGTTGGTCGCCCGTCCGGTCAGTCCGTGGGCAACGCTGTGTGCTGATGTGGCCTAGTCCTGCTTTGCTTGAACCGACATCTCCAGCGTCTATACTTCACTTCAGCATTGCATTAGAGTTAAAGTTTAGTTGCTTTAGGGACTTCAGGTGCCCAAACGTCTGCATCTCCGAGTGAGCAATCTACATGTATCGCAAACTTGGGCATGTCCTTGCTCAGGTGGTTCAGCCCCTTCGCCTGACGATCATGGTTCGCTCGCCAGATACTGCTGCGGCGCGAGTGCGGCCCCCAATGATCAGCACTAGTAATCCCAAAACAAACCTCTGGACACCCTGAAGTTGTTAAGCTTGCAGGTGACCAGGGATTAAAGCTTTATAGGGTCTAAGTACGACCACTGTGGAATTAGGTCTCCAAAGACCATCCGTAATGTTTTTTAGACCTCCTTCACAATACTAGTAACTACTAGTATCTATGGACGCTCTTGGGATCATTCTGAGAGTGTATAGGCGTCAGCTACTGTCTTGGTGCGATAAAGGCCAGGAGCTAAGATCCTTCCTAGTGTTGCAGTGTTACCCTAGGGCTCCATGTACCTGATATAGGGGCTGAAACAAATTGCCCATACTATTTTGGGGGCTTCCTTACTTTACTTCCAGTTCCGTATGCCCCAAAACCCCATTCTAAGTTTGA